TTATAAGTGGATGAAGTTTTCCTTATAAAAATAAAAGTACACGACGGTGCAAAGAGGAGTATAGTTTGTTCTCATAGGAATGCCTTCAGTCTGTTGGAAACAACGTCCACCAAACAGAACATAATACTTCAGGCAGAACTGGATATGTAAGACTTAAATGCTGTAAAATATTAAAACATATAACAAGCTATTTTCTAGACACTACCGCTGACAAGTTCAAGTGAGATGAAGATACAAGATAGTACAACAGACCACATTACCAGAATCCAACTTCAATTGGTCTCTGATGGAGTGTTGTCTCATTGGCAATCGCATCACATCTTCTAATTTTTATATCTTCCAAAAGTTTACCCTCCCTTAACAAAACCTTACAAGACACAGGCATACAAAGTTCTGGGTGTTAAATCCGTCATACATGGCCAAATAGATATAAGAAAATGGGGTATGAGTGCCAATGAGACAACTCTCCATCCAAGTCACAATTTGTAAAAGTAACCCATTTTAGGTCAAAGTACGGCCTTCAACATGGAGCCGGACACCGAACAGCAAGCTATAAAGGGCCCCAAAAATTACAGATTAAAACCATTCAAACAGGAAAACCAACGGTCTAATCTATATAAAAAACAAGAAACGAGAAACACTTATGAACCACATCAACAAACGACAACCAATGAATCCATCCTCTGTTTTATCTTGGAATTTTATACAATTATAAATTGTCTACTTTTTATACATTGTGACTTAAATGGAGAGTTATCTCATTGGCACTCACACCACATCTTCTTATTTATATTAGAACTGGTACATTATGTTAATTAAATATGTTCAGTATGACACAAATGAAAAGTTATGTAATGCATATACAACTATAAAGTAGTTCAACATTCCACATACTGCAACAGTTCTACAAGTAGCTGCAAGGATCTTTTTGATGATTTATTTAGTGCTAGATGTACTACATTCATTGGATCATATTTCTATAATTGACGCATTACTGGATGTTGGAGTCAAAGGAAGAATCACTGCTTTAATTTTGAAAGTGAAATGCATAACTCTTATCAGTATTTTATGAAATGAGAATAAAAAACTAGAGGCTCTCAAGAGCCTGTGTCGCTCACCTGTATTTACTGATGCTTTGGAAATCATGTAAAATAAGGTTAAAATCATAATTAATAGTACTAGATATTAGATATTATAATGATATCTAAGATAACAAGCATTCTGAGAGTATTGCATGGCAATACATAGTCCCCTACCGGGTGAAAATTCATTTTACTGGAACAAAATGCGAACTTGTTCCATAACTTGTCATGGTGTAAACAAAAAGTCAATATCTTCAAGCATGACTAAAAACAGTATTGAAAACTGAGTATATGAGTGAATCAAAGAGCTGAAAGCTCTGAGGAAAAATGACGCCACTGTCTCGAATATTGAGATATTTTTATGCAAGTCTTGATTTTCACATGTCGTAATAAGTTTAACATTGCAACATGTCTCGTAAGCATATAATTGATATTCGTATATGTGTCTGTTTATTTCAGTACAAATGAATAGGTCAAGATTACCTGAATTATCTACAGTATCCAATTACTACTGGCTGTTTTTTTGTATAAATAAATAGGTCAAGACTACCGGAATGATCTACAATATCCAATAATTACTGGCTGTTTTTTTGTACTAATAAAAAGGTCAAGACTATTTGAATGATCTACAATATCCAATGACTACTGGCTGTTCTTTTGTACATATAAATAAAGACTACCTGAATGATCTAAAGTGTTCTAAGTAATGTGATTTTTTTCTTGAAATTACATTTTTCTAAATCAAGAATATAGACTAATAGTATCCTTTTCAAAGCAAATGATTATGAAGAGCCTGTTGTTATCAAGCTCTTATACCCCACATACTCATTAAATAAGTTACTAGTGACCTAGTTATTTCTGTTACTTGAAGCAAATTATATTTCTGTATATTTAGACAATAGTATAATATTGTTTTACTAGTTTTATTTCACCTTGAAGATTAGACAAATAGGGATACTCCTTCGATTTTTTATTTCATGTCAGTCAGGTCGCTTTATATGAAACTTGAAACCACTTCTCTGCCATATTGTTATTTTATAACAACTCTGCCCTTGACCATGTTGACCCATGTAATTGATATTCATTCTTTAACCATATATCATAGTCAGTTAGTTTTTGATTTTGCACTCCAACACCACCTTTCATGTCTTTCAGGTCAAATGTCTGTCTCCATTTAAGTTAATGACATTGAACAATCATGGTATTAAACACAATTTCAATAGTGATAATGCTGTTCTCGTGGGTCACCATATATTCAACTTGGGTAGCATTCCAGTTATTGAAATTTGTGTCAGATTAGAACAATGAACTAGATCTTTAGGAATGGATCTTATAATTTAATATGGAGCCATAGTATGGGACCCCTTCACGGTAACAAGAAAAACAAGCTTTAAAGGATACAATGTCAAGCGGCAAAATCTATTACCAGAGATTACAAGTCAAAAGAGGATGGACGTGATACGTCTCTAAAATGCTTGCTGAACTGGAACTACAGCAAGATCTCCAGACAAGACGAACAAAGCGTTGAAGCCAGAAGTTAATATTTATGTAAAAAGTAGTTGAGGGGCTGATTCCCGCTATTGAACCATACTGTCATTCTATAATATCATTGCGTAAGTATTTCTGTATTGGCCTTGATATTCGTCCATGTCTTGGGTGTATTGGTCTGAGGCGAAGCGGAAGGCCAATACTGCTGGCCGAGGACCAATAATAAGGCCAATACAGAAATACACGTAATAGTATCTTTATTAATTAACTACAGTGTTACAATATTTTTTTTATTTCATTTCACAAGAGATAAACATTTTTACCTTGAAGTGGAACTATCCAAATCTCAGTTTCCTTTTATAAGATGCAATATCTAATGATTCGGTGCCGTTTGACTGCTGGCCGAGAACCAATAATAAGGCCAATACAGAAATACACGTAATAGTATCTTTATTAATTAACTACAGTGTTACAATATTTTTTTTATTTCATTTCACAAGAGATAAACATTTTTACCTTGAAGTGGAACTATCCAAATCTCAGTTTCTTTTTATAAGATGCAATATCTAATGATTCGGTGCCGTTTGAAGTATCTTCAGCCTTTTCTCATCTGATGAATTTTTCTACCCTTTCCAGTCACTATAAAGTGTTACAACTTAATTTAGACACAACACATAAATAGTAATTGGAAAGGTACTGCCATTGCATGTGTAATCGTGACTTACGATCTAAAAACTAGAGACGTTCCGAAATCCTGTTTTGTAAACAAAGATTCATACGCACCGCGTGGGTATAACCGTATTACTAAAATCTTCGTAAATCTGGATAAAGACCAGTTTCTTTCCAATGGATATCAAAATGATTCCGATTTTCACTTTTTTTAATGATTGTAAAGTTGAAATGGCATGAAAGGCTGACATTATTTAGGAGAACTATTTTGTCTAGCGATTGCTGATCATTGGAGGGTAAAAAGTCCAACACCATAACAAAACGGATCTATTCATCATGTATACATACACGATTGTTTACGATTGTAAGACATGTGCATAAAAGTGAAAGCTCGAATAAATATGAAAAATATAACAAAGGGATAGCTCCAAATACCATTTAATAACAAAAAACATATGGACAGGTCAAGATATCTTTTTGGTTAATAAAATAAAGTATGTAAACTGGTTCCCGTCCCACTACAACACTTTGTTCGAGTGTAGTGTAATACAAGCAGATTCCAGTTAGTATGTAAAATAATAAATATGAAACCGAGTGCGGTAGGCGGAGGCAATAATCGACTTCCGTAAGTTCTGGTCAATGGTATCGGAAACATGCCGCTGATTGCGTCATTTTCCAAAAAAAAAACATTAGATATGATGTAATACAGTGTAAATCTATTTTCAACTTATAATCAAATATAATTAATAGTTCCAAATATTTTTTCTTTCATTTGTCACAAACTAATATAGATTTGTAACTTATCTATAAAATGTCAACAACTTTTATCTACACAATGTAATGTATTGAAATATATACATTAATAAAAATGGATTATTATCTAATTAAAGGATTTCTTTTCATAATTTATTTTTTATATATATAGCATTCAGAAAATTAGTTTATACTAAATAACAAACAAACCTGCAAAAAAAATCTTCAAATAATTTAACAAAGAATGTCTTTTGAAAAAATCTCCCTTTGTACAGAAATATGGTTTAACATAGTACTTTAACATTAGATATGGTCCAGAGTTATAGTCCATAACTCTGGACTAAATCATCAGACCGGAACAAAATTCGAACTTGACCTATAACTTGTCATGATAAAACTATACCAAATATCAAATCAATATCTCCAAGAATGAAGAAAAAAAATGTGGAAAGCCGATTTGCTGGACTGACGGATGGACAGACGGACGGACGGAGTGCAAACCTAAAGTCCCCTTCGACTTCGTCGGTAGGGGACTAATAACAAAAAACTGCAAAATTCAGTAAAATTACTAACTCAGGAGCAGCAACCCAACAACGGGTTGTCGGATTCGCCTGAAAATTTCAGGGCAGATAATAAATCTAAATCTGATGAATATTTTTGCCACCTGTCAGATTTGCTCTAAATGCTTTAGTTTCAGAGATATAAACAAATAAAATGCTCCGCTGCGGCGCAGCTTGATACGACCGCAGAGGTCGAACCCTGAACAGTTGGGGCAAGTATGGACACAACATTCAAGCTTGATACAGCACTGAATTTGGATTGTAATTATATATTTGACACAGCATAGGTTTCTGACACAGAATGAAAGTGGTCCAAGAACTTAAAATTTTTTAATTTACCTATTCAAACCATATCATTTTTATTTGCTTTTATATATAAATCAGAAATAACCAATTTAAAATGGAAAATTCTATAGAAAAAAAAGGGAAAAAAATCCCCCCCCCCAAATTTTGTGAACCCCCTTATGATTCATCACCCCCAAACTCAATCTCAGCCTTCCCTTTGTGGTATGGTACCTTGCAGAACAATTTCAGAGAGATCCATACACTTGAACACAAGTAATTGTCTGGAAACTAGAAAAATGCTTGTTTTTTGGTCCCTTTTTGGCCCCAAATTCCTAAATGTTTAGGGCAATCACCCCCAAACTCAAACCCAGCCTTCCCTTTGTGATATGGAACCTTGCAGTACAATTTCATAAAGATCCATACACTTACACACAAGTTATTGTCCTGAAACTAGAAAAATGCTGGTTTTTTTGCCCTTTTATGGCCCCTCATTCCTAAAATTTTGAGGGAATTACCCCCAAAATCAATCCCAGCCTTCCTTTGTGGTATGGTACCTTGCAGTACAATTTCAGAGAGATCCATACACTTGAATACAAGTTATTGTCTGGAAACTAGAAAAATGCTTATTTTTGGCCCTTTTTTGGTCCCTTCTTCCTAAGCATTTAGGTCAATTACCCCCAAACTCAATTCCAGCTTTCCCTTTGTGATATGGAACCTTGTAGTACAATTTCATAAAGATCCATACCCTTACACACAAGTTATTGTCATGAAACTAGAAAAATGCTTGTTTTTTGCCCCTTTTTGGCCCCTAATTCCTAAAATTTGGAGGCAATTACCCCCAAAATCAATCCCAGCATTCCCTTTTGTGATATGGAACCTTGTGATACAATGTCAGAGAGATCAATACACTAACACACAAGTTATTGTCATGAAACTACAAAAATGCTTGTTTTTTGCCCCTTTTTGGCCCCTAATTCCTAAAATTTGGAGGCAATTACCCCCAAAATCAATCCCAGCATTCCTATTGTGATATGGAACCTTGTGGTACAATGTCAGAGAGATCCATACACTTACACACAAGTTATGTCTGGAAGTTACAAAAATGCTTATTTTTGGCCCCTTTTTGGCCCCTTATTCCTTAACTGTTGGAACCATAACCCCCAAAATCAATCCCCACCTTCCTTTTGTGGTATTGAACCTTATGGTAAAATTTCATTGAGATCCATTCACTTAAACTAAAGTTAGTGTGCGAAAACTAATGTGTCTTCGGACGACGACGACGACGCCAATGTCATACCAATATACGACCACAAAATTTTTTTTTGCGGTCGTATAAAAACTGCATTTTACCCCTATGTACTATTTTTAACCAGGTCGGCCATGATGATTGGAAGGCGGGGTCATCAGACAAATTTTTTAAACAAGATACCCTAATAATGATTATGGCCAAGTATGGTTAAATTTGTCTCAGTAGTTTCAGAGAAGAAAATTTTTGTAAAAGATTACAAATATTTATGAAAAATTGTTAAAAATTTACTATAAAGGGCAATAACTCCTAAAGGGGTCGACTGACAATTTTGGTCATGACAACTTATTTGTAGATCTTACTTTGCTGAACATTATTGCTGTTTACAGTTTATCTCTATCTTTAATAATATTCAAGATAATAACCAATAAAATGCTCTGCTGGGCACAGCTTGATACGACTGCAGAGGTCGAACCCTGAACAGTTGGGGCAAGTATGGACACAACATTCAAGCTTGATACAGCACTGAATTTGGATTGTTATTAAATATTTGACACAGCATAGGTTTCTGACACAGAATGAATGTTGTCTAAGAACTTAAAAAATTTTAATTTACCTATTCAAACCATATCATTATTATTTGCTTTTATATATAAATCAGAAACCGCAGAGGTCGAACCCTGAACAGTTGGGGCAAGTATGGACACAACATTCAAGCTTGATACAGCACTGAATTTGGATTGTGATTAAATATTTGACACAGCATAGGTTTCTGACACAGAATGAATGTGGTCTAAGAACTTAAAAATTTTAATTCACCTATTCAAACCATATCATTATTATTTGCTTTTATATATAAATCAGAAATAACAAATTTAAAATGGAAAATATTAAAGAAAAATAAATCCCTCCACCAAATTTTTTTAACCCCCTTATCATTCATCACCCCCAAACTCAATCCCAGCCTTCCCTTTGTGGTATGGTACCTTGTGGTACAATGTCAGAGAGATCCATACACTTACACACAAGTTATGTCTGGAAGTTACAAAAATGCTTATTTTTGGCCCCTTTTTGGCCCCTAATTCCTTAACTGTTGGAACCATAACCCCCAAAATCAATCCCCACCTTTCTTTTGTGGTATTGAACCTTATGGTAAAATTTCATTGAGATCCATTCACTTAAACTAAAGTTAGAGTGCGAAAACTAATGTGTCTTCGGACGACGACGACGACGACGACGCCAACGTCATACCATTATACGACCACAAAAATTTTTTTGCGGTCGTATAAAAACTGCATTTTACCCCTATGTACTATTTTTAACCAGGTCGGCCATGATGATTGGAAGGCGGGGTTATCGGACAAATTTTTTAAACAAGATACCCTAATAATGATTATGGCCAAGTATGGTTAAATTTGTCTCAGTAGTTTCAGAGAAGAAAATTTTTGTAAAAGATTACAAATATTTATGAAAAATTGTTAAAAATTTACTATAAAGGGCAATAACTCCTAAAGGGGTCGACTGACAATTTTGGTCATGACAACTTATTTGTAGATCTTACTTTGCTGAACATTATTGCTGTTTACAGTTTATCTCTATCTTTAATAATATTCAAGATAATAACCAATAAAATGCTCTGCTGGGCACAGCTTGATACGACTGCAGAGGTCGAACCCTGAACAGTTGGGGCAAGTATGGACACAACATTCAAGCTTGATACAGCACTGAATTTGGATTGTGATTAAATATTTGACACAGCATAGGTTTCTGACACAGAATGAATGTTGTCTAAGAACTTAAAAAATTTTAATTTACCTATTCAAACCATATCATTATTATTTGCTTTTATATATAAATCAGAAACCGCAGAGGTCGAACCCTGAACAGTTGGGGCAAGTATGGACACAACATTCAAGCTTGATACAGCACTGAATTTGGATTGTGATTAAATATTTGACACAGCATAGGTTTCTGACACAGAATGAATGTGGTCTAAGAACTTAAAAAATTTTAATTCACCTATTCAAACCATATCATTATTATTTGCTTTTATATATAAATCAGAAATAACAAATTTAAAATGGAAAATATTAAAGAAAAATAAATCCCTCCACCAAATTTTTTTAACCCCCTTATCATTCATCACCCCCAAACTCAATCCCAGCCTTCCCTTTGTGGTATGGTACCTTGCAGTACAATTTCAGAGAGATCCATACACTTGAACACAAGTTATTGTCTGGAAACTAGAAAAATGCTTGTTTTTAGGCCCCTTTTTGGCCCCAAATTCCTAAACGTTTAGGGCAATTACCCCCAAACTCAAACCCAGCTTTCCCTTTGTGATATGGAACCTTGTAGTACAATTTCATAAAGATCCATACAATTACACACAAGTTAATGTCCTGAAACTAGAAAAATGCTTGTTTTTTGCCCCTTTTGGCCCCTTATTCCTAAAATTTGAGGCAATTACCCCCAAAATTAATCCCAGCCTTCCCTTTGTGGTATGGTACCTTGCAGTACAATTTCAGAGAGATCTATACACTTGAACACAAGTTATTGTCTGGAAACTAGAAAAATGCTTATTTTTTTCCCCTTTTTGGCCCCTTATTCCTAAACGTTTTGGGCAATTACCCCCAAACTCAATTCCAGCTTTCCCTTTGTGATATGGAACCTTGTAGTACAATCAATTTCAGAAAGATCCATACACTTACACACAAGTTATTATCATGAAACTAGAAAAATGCTTGTTTTTTGCCCCTTTTTTGGCCCTTAATTCCTAAAATTTTGAGGCAATTACCCCCAAAATCAATCCCAGCATTCCCTTTGTGATATGGAACCTTGTGGTACAATGTCAGAGAGATCCATACACTAACACACAAGTTATGTCTGGAAGTTACAAAAATGCTTATTTTTGGCCCCTAATTCCTTAACTGTTGGTACCATAACCCCCAAAATCAATCCCAACCTTCCTTTTGTGGTATTGAACCTTATGGTTAAATTTCATAGAGATCCATTCACTTAAACTAAAGTTAGAGTGCGAAAATCAATGTGTCTTCGGACGACGACGACGACGACGCCAACGTCATACCAATATACGACCTCAAAATTTTTTTGCGGTCGTATAAAAACTGCAAAATTTCCTTAAAATTAACAATTCAGGGGCAGCAACCCAACAACGGGTTGTCAGATTTGTCTGAAAATTTCAGGGCAGATAGATCTTGACCTGATAATCAGTTTTAGTCTAAATGCTTTAGTTTCAAAGATATAAGCCAAAATCTACATTTTACCCCTATGTTCTATTTTTAGCCATGGCAGCCGTCTTGGTTGGATGGCAGGGTCATCTGACACATTTTTTAAACTAGATACCTAATGATGATTGTGGCCAAGTTTGGTTAAATTTGGCCCAGTGGTTTCAGAGGAGAAGATTTTTGTAAAAGCTAACAATGATGGACAACGACGACGACGACGGACGCCAAGTGATGAGTAAAGCTCACTTGGCCCTTTGGGCCAGGTGAGCTAAAAACAAGTTTGGAAATAAAGCTAATTAATAAATGAATAGACACTTCAAATGGTTAAATTAATCAGAAAGAGTAAATCTACAAATTAAATCAAATGACGGAAATTAATGATAAGACTCCTTATTGGGGCTGTAGCTCCTTACTGATTTTTACCATTTTTTGGGGCATTTTTGTGTATTATTTTAAAACTGTAATAGATAGAAAGAAACTTTAAACAGCAAATATTATCTACAAATAAGTAAACAATGCTGAATTCAATGGTAAAATCTTTACAGGAGTTAATGTCACTAAATCATAATTTTCCCCATTACATTCTCTTTTGCCTATTATCTTGAAAACTACATGTAACTATAGTAAACAGGGCAAACAAACTCAATCTCCTGTTAAAACTTTTTAATTTCATTTTGAAGGACAGCAAATGAGATTTACCAATACTGGAGTTTACACATTTTATATAAATATATATCTAAATATTGCACACTTGTTTACACATTGTATATATAAGTTGCACACTAAGTTTATGTTTCGACAACCTTAAACATATCACTGTCTCCTTCAATACTATAGTTTACAGATTTGTAACCAGCAATATCTTTCACACGAGTTTCATGCACATAATCATACAGCATTTCAACCACTTGAGGAAGTGGTTTAATTTTGGCCATTTCAGCAAGTCCATCATTATAACGCCACTGTCTTGGACCCATATTATGAGCATATCTAACAGGAAGTCCTTCTGACAGTCTCAGTTTGAAATCCTTATCAATGTCCTTTTTCATCTCTTCTTCAGATGGAAGCGGCATAGAGCCATCAATTCCTGCTATTACAAAGCGAACCTGCATATCAAAGGCTGGGAATGGACAAATTGTCTTTAATATACCTATGAAAGACAGTGAAGGATAGTGTGTGTGTATCACATGTTTATAAAGAGGCCATATTCTCTCATCCTCTACTTGTAAACCTATGTCCTCTGAAAGGAAGGGAAAGTTATATAGATAGCCAGTACACAGAAGTAAAACATCAATGTCCACTTCACTATCATCTTTAAATATGACAGAATGTTTTTTGAGTTGTTTAATACCAGGTTTTTGTTCTACATTATCTGGTAACACTGTCTGTAACACTGCTTTATTGTGACTCATATATAACTGAAAAATATAAGTTATAAGACTATAGTCAATTATATCAATACTTTCTCAGACAAACCTAAAATTATACACACTGTTGTCATCAAGATTTAAGTTTAACTCATGCTGACATAAAAACAGTTGTTAACATTTTTTTTTTTATTAAATTGGTTAAGATAAAATATCATAATTTCCCAGTAAAACTAGAAGTGTGAGTGAAGTCACAAAAGGATGTCCCCCACCCTGCAATACATTGGTATATTGAAGTAAATAAATTTAATTATCTCCCCTTTAACATATTTGGATAACGTTAACAGTACAAATTTTACTACACCAGATGTGCATTTTGACATGTGCATGATGCTCGAGGCCAAAATATTTGAAAATCCAAATCTTATACAAACATTAAAGAGCTGATCAAACCAAAATTGAAGATGATTATATTATTAGGTAGTGTTCTATAACTGTAAATAGATTCATTAATATCTGTCCAGACGTTTCGGGGGAGTGCCCTTACAAGGTACATTGGCAGACAGATCAACAAACAGGGTTACTTTTCGAATGACCCTTTACAATAGCAATATGTGTAGAAATTTTTAACTAAATTTTGATAATAACAATGAAGCAGAATTAAAGTCTTGTAGGATTGTAAGTATACTTAATCTGTCACCTTGCACTTTGATGACTTCGACTGGTTTACTACAGCAGTTGGTTAAAATGTCTGACCAGTTTTGTCAGAATTTTAAACGTGCTGCAATAGTTGGAGGGAACACTTACAGTTAAGTCACAGTAGAAAAAGCCAATTTAACTACTGTAAATTCAGAAAATAATTGTGAGGTTTTCATAAATGCGTATAATGTGACTGGGTGAGTATTGCAATAATAAGAACTTGCATTCTGATAACTGAAATATAGACCTATATGCACTCGAAATCTCAATAATAAAACTCACATTTTTGTACATTCTTGAAAAATTGCAATAATAAATGCACACAATAATTTCTGAATTTACAATAATAAGCTACAGTGCCTTTTATTATCATTTTTTTTAATTAAGGGATGTCAACTAGGTCAAGTTTGATGTCAATTATCTTACATATTTAGCACAAGAAGACACATCAACAGCAATATCCTGTCCGGACGCAGCAGCACCAAGGCAGACAACTCTTTTACCAGTAAACTGTTCAGGATGTCTATAACAATGACTGTGGATTACCTCCCCTTCAAAGTCGTCTAGACCAGGAATTTTTGGATAAAGTGGTACTTCATAATGCCTGGAAAATATACAATAAACATGATAAACACTGGTTTTATAATTTATAATCAGATGATTATCTACCCTGTCTCAGTAAATAGATATCCCTTCACATGAATACAAAATTATATAAGTGAACATCAACTTAATGGTGATCTGTTGTACACTGTATAAATAATCATCAAAAAACATAGTGTATTGAAACAAATTATATTCAAAATATTGTCATGCAGTATCTCCTCCTGGTGAGTAAGTACAATGAATCTTAATCTGTTCATATATACTCAATAAAATGAAATATTGAAGAAGTAAGTAAAATGGCCATGTAGAAAAACATTCTTCAATCCAAACAAAGTGTTAAGTATGATGTTAATTGGTTTATTTATACTCGAGCAAGTGCATGACATGTAAAAAATTGTCTCAAATCTGATCATGCTGATGGTGAATGCCTCGTATCTTTCAAATGACAATCCTAGAGAATTTTCAAAATTGAAAGGGAGCTTACCTTTATAAGCATTAGCAACCTTATAAAGTGTATAAAGTTTGAAGTAATTTGATCCAAGTATACTAAGTATAAATCATGGGACAAGTTGTCTAAAGTGTGATGGTTAAAGTCCACAACTCGGGAATGACCAATTGGAAAACTTTAAAAATAAAACAAGTAGCTCCCATTAACCATCCCAAAAATGGTGTTCAGTTTCAAGTAAATCAATCTTACCATATTTGGATTAGTATTCAATATGTGAATAAAGAGCTGCGCCATGAACACATGATACGCCAGTCGCTTTTTCAAAGAATAATGTTCCATAACTCCTCAATGTCATATCAGAAATTTATAAAAACTAAAGGGAGGTTATTTTAATAGATATAAACCAGTTAAAGTTTCATGAAAACTGCTCAAAGTATTTTTGAGTTATTGTCCAAAAACTGGAAAATCCCCTTTTTTTAATGAATAAAACCCCATAACTTGGAAACGTAAAATCTAAAATTTATATAAATCGAAAGGGAGATCACTTTGATAGATATAAATAATTCATCAAAGTTTCATGAAAACTGCTTAAAGCATTTTTGAGTTATTGTCCGAAAACTGGAAAATGCCCCCTTTTTTAATGAATAAAACCTCATAACTCGGAAACGTAAAATCTGAAATTTATAAAAATCGAAAGTTTCATTCAAATTGGTTGAAGCGTTTTTGAGTTATTGTCTGACATGTTGACAGACGGACGGACGCACAACTGTATACCATAAAACGTCTCGTAAACGGGCGTATAAAAATCAAATTACATATTTTCAAAATTAGAAGGGAGCTTTCTTTCACCAATTCTAAAATTGTATTCTAGTTTCATGAACTCTTTAGCTTTTGTGCATTTTGATAATAGATTGATAGATGGCCACACAGCTGTTTAAAAATATTAATATTTAATACTCAATAATAGAATGTTTTCAATTACATGTAAGAACACATTTTCTGAGCTGATTTAATTTTACATGTGAGTTCAATTAACATATGAATGCATTTACTTGAACATAATACATCTAATTTAACTTTAAACATGATAAAGGTAGAGCTTACTTTTACTATTTTTGACAGTGTAGCTCAAATTGTAACATTCTAGAGGAAGACATGACAACACATCCTGACAAGTTCTTCATACTTTCAACTATGTAGAACCAGCTCTTATTACTAAATACAGTATGCTAGTTGAAGAGCCATCAAATACACATCTAAAAAAAATTACTTTAACCAGTTGGGGATCAAAGCCTAGAATCCCTTCAGCTCTCAGATAGGACCCAGACATTAAGATGATCACACATTAGTAACCTAGTGAGAGATTCCCTATATATACAACATGCATTGACATGCTGTTAATTTAGATAATTAAATTTACCCATTACAAACCATAACAACATCAAATATATCTGTTTTTGTTTCATCTCTTTGTCCTACATTACTGTATGACACATGCCATTGTGTTTTGTCACCATGAATCTCTGGACGGATATGTTGTACCAAAGTCTCAAACTAAATAAAATAAGTAATATTTCAAATTCAATAATAACAATTTTATTTATATAAAAACATTTGCTAAGTTTACATGAAATATAAGCAACAAGGAATTCGAATTTTATGATTCATAAAACACAATTCAAGTTCTTTAGATATTTTTTTTATAGTGAAGTATTAAGGAACAGCAACATTTTCACTTTTATAACTTCTTTTTGAAAGTTACACCTTCTGAAGAACAAGTAAGTAAGTTGAAATCTGTGAGGACCATATGCATGTATATACTCATCATAGATACTAGGATCATTGAATTCATATATACAATATTTTCACCAAATTATGTATAATTTCGAAGAATATTAGTACCTACTATTAAAGGCAACAACCACTCTTTTTAGGTAAGATATCAGCTACCCTCATCCACTCCACTTATTCAAGATATCAGTATCCCCATCAACTCTTTAACGCCAAGATACCAGTACCAGCAATCAATCTTATGTGTCAAGGTACCAGTAGTTTGAAATTCTCATTGACTTTTATATCAGTAGTTTGAACCAAGACATCAGTTATCCTCATTGACTTTTATATATTGAGGTAAGATATCACTATCAACAGAAATTCTTTTGGACAAACAAACCAAAACCCACATCTACTCTATTGATCAAAGGTGTCAGTACCCAACACTGTAGTGAGCCAAGATATCAATACCACATCCACTCTTTTTAGTCAAGATACCAGTACCCACTTCTGCCGTATTTGGACAAGATATATATATCAACATTCACTTTATTGAGCTAACATATCAGTACCCATATACTTTGTTGAGCCAAAATATCAGTACATCCACTCTTTTAAACTATAATAACTGTAACCCTTTCCGCTTTTTTAGGCCAAGATATCAGTACCCACATCCATTTTATTGAGTCAAGAAATCAATAATCCTTACCAATACAGTTAAGATAATAGAACTCGCATCCACTCTATTGAGTCAAGATATCAGTACTCACATCCACTCTATTGAGTCAAGTTATCAGTACCCACATCTACTCTATTGAGTTAAGATATCAGTACCCACATCCACTTTATTTAGTCAAGATATCAGTACCCACATCCGCTCTATTGAGTTAAGATATCAGTACCCACATCTGCTCTATTGAGTCAAGATATCAGTACAAACATTCACTCTATTGAGTTAAGATATCAGTACTCACATCCACTCTATTGAGTCAAGATATCAGTACCCACATCCACTCTATTGAGTCAAGATATCAGTACTCACATCAGCTCTATTGATTCAAGATATCAGTACCCACATCCACTCTATTGAGTCAAGATATCAGTACCCACATCCGCTCTATTGAGTCAAGATATCAGTACTTACATCCACTCTATTGAGTTAAGATATCAGTACTCACATCCACTCTATTGAGTTAAGATATCAGTACTCACATCCACTATATTGAGTTAAGATATCAGTACCCACATCCACTCTATTGAGTCAAGATATCAGTACTCGCATCCACTCTATTGAGTTAAGATATCAGTACTCACATCCACTCTATTGAGTTAAGATATCAGTACTCACATCCACTCTATTGAGTAAAGATATCAGTACTCACATCCACTCTATTGAGTAAAGATATCAGTACTCGCATCCACTCTATTGAGTTAAGATATCATATCTCGCATTCACTCTATTGAGTTCAGTTATTAGTACTAACATCCATTTTTTTATTTTAAGATATCAGTACTCGCGTCCACTCTACTATTTCAAGATATCAGTACTCGCATCCACTCTACTATTTCAAGATATCAGAACTCGCATCCACTCTACTATTTTAAGATATCAGTACTCGCATACACTCTACTATTTCAAGATATCAGTACTCGCATCCACTCTACTATGTCAAGATATCAGAACTCACATCCACTTTACTATTTCAAGATATCAGTACTCGCATACACTCTTCTATTTCAAGATATCAGTACCCACATCCACTCTACTATTTCAAGATATCAGTACTTGCATCCACTCTACTATTTCAAGATATCAGTACTCGCATCCACTCTACTATTTCAAGGTATCAGTACTCGCATCCACTCTACTATTTCAAGATATCAGTATCCACATCCACTCTATTGTAACAAGACACCATTATCCACTAAATTGAGCCAAGAAAACAGTTCCACACACACACACGTTCACTTTATTGAGTCAATATAATAGTACTCTAATTCACTCTAGTGAGCGATATTATCAATAACATATCCACAGTATTGAGCCAATTTATCAGTGCCCAATACCACTCTATTGACCCAAGATAACAGAATTCACATTCACATGACAGGTCCAAGAGTAAAGATTCTGTCTTTTGAGCCATAATGTCAGAACCAACTTCATATAGATGGGTCAAGTTATTAGTTCCACAATCTAGTCCAGTTGTCAGCACTTCTGTGTTGACATGAATTATCATTGATATGGTCATAATTATAAATTAACTGTTAACAAAACTTTGAAATTTTTCAAAGTAATAAGGATGTTCTACCCAAGGAATAGATTACCTGAGCTGTACACTGGTGTACAAAATTGTAATCCTTGTATCTATGATGAATTTATCTGCTTTCAAAAACACACAATAATATACAGTCGAACCTCGTTGTGTCAAACTCGGTTGTGTCGAAAACTCGGATGAGTCGAAGTAATTTTTAAATGAATCGAATCGTTAGATTTAAAACTCATCAATTACAATAAATAAAAGGATTAAGACAATTATGATCAATTCATGATAATTTAATGTAAAGCAGACGACCTCATTAGAGACCGTTCAGAACTTATTTCCTTCCGCGAATGATTTCATAATTTATAGTGACTGACCTTTGTAAATATTTGTGTAGACTATTGATTTTATTTGTGCATGATTTGTATCTGTACTTGTGTGTTTAATTATTACGAAGGACCAAAAATGGAGATTTAATACACAATCATAAAGTGTCATATCGAAAAAAGGCACACTGTTCCTTGTATCTAGTTTACATAAATCTTATACCGTATTTCATGCATTCCAAATTTATGACGACACACTCGACCTCGGATGAGTCGAACCTCGGATGATTTGAATACTTTGGTCTGGTCCCTTAGACTTCGACACAACGAGGTTCGACTGTAAATCAAGATTCTTGTGAGCACTGAAGGGTAAAGATTGCATTCATTTCGCAGTGGCAGCTAAAACTTAAACATTGCCTTGTATTAAGCATTTAAAAAAGTAATACTTTAAATTGGCAATATCTTCTTTTGTCCATAACCATGGTAACAGAGGAAGTTAACAACAATTTCATATATCACTTTAACAATGTTATCATTTTTTAGAACTGAAACTTGATTCATGCACTGTGTACAATTTATGTATTTTTCTTAAGAATGTTAAAGTGCTTAAGATGCACCAAATTTATACAATGTTATTTTCATTCATACACATGCATATCATTTCGTACCCAGAATATCTGAGTATATATTTCATTGATAAATTTCTTGAAATGTTCATGGATAGGATGTGCACACCGTTGTGCTCAAGGCGCTATGTTTTGTTTTTTTAATCTCAATAGTAGTAAAACAAATTCTGTTTTGGAAAACTGATATATATGAAGCCATCCCCATAAAGGTTTTATTTACCTAAATGTAATCTATACTACAAATAAAATGCTTAGCTGAGCGCAGCCTGATACGACCGCAGAGGTCGAACCCTGAACAGTGGGGGCAAATTTGGACACAATATTCAAGCTTGATACTGTCTGAATTTGGATTGTAATCAAATTTTTGACATAATATAGGTTTCTGACACAAAATAAATGTGGTCAAAGATCTTATAAATCCATTGCGCAATACTGTGCAATTGAAGATTTCTTCTTGAAACTTTTCAAAAATTCTAAATTTTAAAAATTTTGAAAAAAAAATATGAATCCCTTAAAAATAAACAGCTGCGCCATGAGCGCATGATACGCCCGTCGTCTTGTGTGTGAATTTTTATGCAATAAGCATAAATAGTTTCTGACATACGGCGTTACATGCGAAAACCCCCTTTTTTTTTTTACAAAAAAACTCAATATCTATAAAATAAAATTTTGAATCAAAACCAAAAAGTATACAGATCTTTAGATTAATATAACTAAGAAGTGTGTAAAATTTTAAGCAATAATCATAAATCATTTTTGAGATACGGCGCGACATGTGAAAACACCCCTTTTAAAAAAAAATCAATATCTCAAAAATAAAATTTTGAATCAAAACCAAAAAGTATACAGATCTTTAGATTAATATAACTAAGAAGTGTGTAAAATTTTAAGAAATAATCATAAATCATTTTTGAGATATGGCGCGACATGTGAAAAACCCCTCCCCCTTTTTTTACAAAATACTCAATAACTCAAAAATAAAATTTTGAATCAAAACCAAAAAGTATACAGATCTTAAGGTTAATATAACTAAGAAGTGTGTAAAGTTTTAAGCAATAATCATAAACTGTTTTTGAGATACGGCGCGACATGTGAAAAACCCCTCCCCCTTTTTAACAAAATACTCAATAACTCAAAAATAAAATTTTGAATCATCATCAAAAAGTATACAGATCTTAAGATTAATATAACTAAGAAGTGTGTAAAGTTTTAAGCAATAATCATAAATTGTTTTTGAGATACGGCGCGACATGTGAAAAAAAACACACACCTGTTTTAGTTACTAAGTCCTGTAACTCAAAAAGTTTTAATCTTATTTTCACCAAAAAGTATACAGATCGTTTGACCATCATAAGAAACAACTATGTTAAGTTTCATGAAATTTGGATAAGTCATTCTCAAGTTACGGTGCGACATGTTTACGCTGGACAGACAGACGGACAGACAGACGGACGGACAGACGGACGGACGCCGGACATTTGTATAACATAATAGGTCCCGTCAAAAATTTGACGGGCGTATAAAAATTGGAAAAAAAATCCCCCCTCTTGGAGCAATAACCCCAAAACTCAATCCCAGCCTTTCCTTTGTAGCATGGAACCTTGTAGTACAATTTCAGAGAGATCCATACACTTACACACAAGTTATTGTCTGGAAACTAGTAAAATGCTTGTTTTTGGCCCTTTTTTGGCCCCTAATTCCTACATGTTTGGGGCAATTAACCCCAAACTCAATCCCAGCCTTCCCTTTGTTATATGTAACATTGTAGTACAATGTCAGAGAGATCCATACACTTACACATAAGTTATTGTCTGGAAACTAGAAAAATGCTTTTTTTTAGGCCCTTAATTCCTAAACTGTTGGCCCCATAACCCCTAAAATGAATCCCAACCTTCTACTTGTGGTATTAAACATTGTGGTACAATTTCAGAGCAATCAAAATACTTATACACAAGTTATTATCCTGAAACTAGAAAAATGCTTGTTTTGGGCCCCTAATTCCTAAACGGTTGGGACCATCATCCCCAAAATCAATCCCAACCTTCCTTTTGTGGTATTGAACCTTCTTAAAAAATTTCATAAAGATCCATTCACTTAAACTAAAGTTATTGTCCGGAAACCAATGTGTCTTCGGACGACGACATCATACCATTATACGATCCAAAAAAAAATTTTGCGGTCGTATAAAAACATGTGTCCTGTGACATAAGATAGCTAATAACATTACTCTGAGAACATTTTTGTCTATTTTTTAGATTTGTTGCCAATTGCACATAGTTTATTTGAGGCGGATTTACAATTGCTATCAGTGCTCAATAGAAATAAATATATATATATACCGGTACCTTTATACACTTGTGGAGATCATAATGTTTTGTATATTCTTGGAGGTATTCTAAAACATCATCATGTTTTATAAATGAAGGAAGAGAGGTCCTGAATGGAAAACCTGGAAATGCCATTACTTCTTTTGGAAGATTTGTTCTGAAAATATATATGAAAGTTGTTTTCTGACCAATGTGTTAACCTTTTGTGTTAATAAATGTTTATTCCACATCCTTGGAAATCATATCACATCTCTTTATTTTTCAATTAAACCTACTGAATAATCATAACAGTTACAGCCATCTTTAAGTTGAACATTCATTTCTTCTGTGAGAATTTGACTAAAATTAAAGTCCTAAAATTCATGCAATTTTCATATCAACAACAAAATACTCAAAATTTACTAGTTAATTTGACTACTGTGACTTTTTTCAGATGTTCTACAGCAGGCACGACAGGCAGGACTAGAAATAAGTGTATAACGGTGGAATTGTTACTGATTGACTAACCTGATTCATCTGCCTTCAACTAGTAAATTTTCCAAACATTGATTTTAAAGCTTTTAGTATATATAGACTAAAGACTGAAGAGTTTGATTGTGTTGCTCAATTGCTTTTAATTCATATAAAATATTGTAAGATAAAGTACTGATAGGAAAAAACTTCTTCTGATATAATTACTAGAAAAAAGAAAAGGTATTAAATATAAAAGTCTCCATTTTGCAGCATCTTGAATCCACATTTGTTTGATTGGTGTTTATGTACAAAGAATATGGTTGAAGAGAGTGGTAAACATGGGAAAGATTCCTCATTTAGATTTTTATCATATAATTTTTAACAGATTTGTATAAATGGCAAATATCCTCTTATAGAAGAAGGTTTGTTTTATTCATTCCACATAAAATTTCTGCTAAAAAGGAAGGTTATTATTCCATAACATATAAGTTTTTATATACCTCAAGTTCTTATACATGCTTGATTGTACAGGAAGACCATATTTATCACTGCCTGTTTCCTCTGTGTATATCCATGTCCCACCTTCTGATGAGTTTTTATCAAAACACACAGTATGGAAAATATTTGGTCGAGCAGTAAGGTGTCTTACAGCACACAGACCTGCAGCACCAGCTCCAATAACAGCTACTCTTATAGCCATAATCTACTGCCAATAAGAAAAAAAATAATCACATAATTTTGGCCAAAGCTGTTTAATTCAATCTTTTGCATCTATATATATATATCAGACCTTGGTACAAACATTTTACAGGTGTTCTGCAAAGAGAGAGATCCATGGGTAGAAACTTTACCCAAAAAGTGCTATTATTCATGACTGAAAGAAAACAGTCTTTGCTACATTAATCAATGGAAGGTTATTCCACATGTTCCAGTAAAAATAACTTAATTTTGAATTTTTTACATTTTTTTACTTTACTCTTGTTTCTTTGTAGTTGAATTAAAAGAAGCCATTTCATGACCTCATATTTTTTCTAAACACTTGAAGTATTTGTAATTTTTCATGTTTAGACCTTTCTTGACTTCTAATTCCTGGGATTTTCCTGTGTACATGTTGCATTGCAAAAGTTCAGTTCATCTAACCCAAAAAAGAAAACTGAGAATTGAAATGGGGAATGTGTCAAAGAGACAACAACCTGACCGAAGAGCAGAAAACAGCCCAAGGCCACCAATGGGTATTCAACACAATAAGAAAATCCCGCACCCGGAGGCGGGCTTCATCTGGCGGGCTTCAGCTGGCCCCTAAACAAAAATGTGTACTTGTTCAGTGAAAATGGATGTCATACTAAACTCCAAAACATATAAATCAACTAAAATTAAAAAACATACAAGACTAACAAAGGCCAGAGGCTCCTGACTTGGGACAGGCGCAAAAATGCGGTGGGGTTAAACATGTTTTGTGAGATCTCAACCCTCCCCCTATACCTCAAGGTCTTTTTGGCCACCCAATATTACTTAGTCAAAATTTCAGTTATTGAATTCTGTAGAATACTATTGAAAATTGCCAAGACTCATTGCAAAATTATATAATGTGAAATGATAATAAACTACAACCCCCAACATTTTTAAGAACTATGGAACACCTGTGGATTCCAAAAACTCAAAGTATGGTACCTTACCAATCAAAAGACAGAACCTGCAAGTTGAGTATTATAATCAATTAAAAAAAGAAGTAAAACAATTGCCTAAATATATCATGTATATAAGAAAGATATACACCAACAAGGTATAAATCTTTTATGAGATAATAAAGCTGATAATTTTAAAACAGTATTAACATGATTAAGATAACAAATAAATATTGGCAGAACGCGATGGTAAACCTGGAAGGAGATTTTTTGGAATGCATGATTTCAAAGAAAAGGAGATACAAATAAAAGAGCTCCCATGAGGAGTGTCATTCTTCAAGAGAAACAACTTGCAGAGAAATAGATAAGTTGGAATAAAATAGAATTATAGAGAATCGTGTACTCCTTGATTTACACAAATTGTTATTTTACAGAAAAAAATATGAAACACGGATATTATGTGTAGATTATTGAAAACTGAATGACCGAACTATGGAGGATGCATATCTAATCCCTGGAATTTTAAATATCATTAATGGTTCACAGCTTTAGATCTGGACATTGCATATATGGCAGTTTTATATTTAGACAACATTATTGTGATTGGAAAGGATTTGAAAGAATGTTTTGACAATCTGTGACATGGGTATAGGATTATGAACAGGCCTGAACTGACTGGACTTAATTCAAAATAGGAAAAGGTACTTTTTCTATGTAGTAACATTCCAACAGTACCTGCATATGGAGTATACATGTATATCTCCAAGTTGATATGATATTCCAGATCTTCCATTTCCTATCATGATTTCCTTGAAAAAATTGGGGTTGCTGCTTACAAGAAAACTTTGAAGCAAAGAGTTCCAAGTGGTTAAGTTAAAATCATCCCTTCAAAAATTTTAGGGACGATTTTTAGTTGACTGTTATGGAATATCTGTTTCACAGATGATGACAGATATGTTCCAATTGTCATAACCACAGTACCTTCCTCTTTTCCTTAAATGTGACATACCGAATTAGAATTATCGCCTGATTTGTACTTAGAAGAGCAACACCATATGCCCTGCTTATCCTTCAGGAGAACCTGAGATAACTCCCAGTTTCTAGTGGGGTTCCTGTTGCGCTTATCCTTCATGAGAACCTGAGATAACTCCCAGTTTCTAGTGGGGTTCGTGTTGCTCAGTCTTTAGATTTTTATGTTGTGTTTTGTATATCGCTATTTGCATTTTGGATGCTTTTCTTTTTTTGCCATGGCATTGGCAGTTCCTTTTAGACATATGAGTTTGATCATCCTTTTGTATCTTCATGATCTTTCAACATGTTCAACTCACTATTTTAGCCAACAGTAGTTTACAATGTTCAAATCTCAAGGTGATAAACAAAAATTGAGGGAATGACATGATTTCCAAAAAGAGCGAGGCAGGGTGGGTCAACAGTGTGGTTGTGCACAATCCTTCCAGAATGTCCATAACATTTTTTATGTTAGCTCGATACGGGGGATATTCGTCCCCAATTTGTAGAGTAATTCATCGGCGAGATTCTCATTCCGGGCCGCGCGATTTTAACGTGATTTCACAGAGTTGCCAATCTCTGTGTATATATATATGTCCCTAGTTTAATAATGATATAAAGTAAAACTATCTATCATTTTTGTAAATACTAAAAAGTAAAATTTAAACTGCAATGTAAATTACTTAGGAAGCCAAAAATGTATGAACATGTATCAAATTACTAGCAGGTAATTTGTTACATATGCATGCATTTAATGGCTTAATGCTTCATAAATAAAAGTTTGCATTGCAATTCTAATCTGATTTTTTGTTGTTGCTATTTAGTTAGCTTTCTTTTACCTTCTCAGTCAGTTTTATTAAGTCCTACCCTCTTCAACTTGAATGTCATTCAGTCTTCCTAAAATCATTTTGCGTATTTATAAGTTTTACCTTTTTGTAAGATCCTATTAGTTCGCAATCAGCTGTTTTGTAATATAGGATCAGTTCGACTTTTGAACATTTTTTTATTTAACCATCAGAGCTTTAAATGATTATTTTTAAGATAATTAGTTACTAATATTAATATAAGTAAAAACCAAAAACATGAATGAAGATAATTACTCGTTAAAACGATTTATTATTTGATTTTTACAATATAATACAATAAGAATGCCAATAGAACACACCCTAGTACCCAACAGCAATATACAATGCTGGAACATACGGTCGATTGTGGTTTCAGTTTAAAGACAAACATAAATTTCCATCTTCTCTGAAAACTTTTTATTAATTCAAATGCTTTTAAACAACTTATTCCTAAATCCAAATTATATAAAATATAGATATCGTAAATTATGGAAAGCAATATCCAAATTTTCGGATGGTACGATTTCGGTACGACTGCAGAGTCCAATCCAAGATGTCAGCCTCCATGAAACTAAAATAGGCATATTTTTTAAAGAAACAAAACAAAAAAATAATGTTTATTTCAGCTGAGAGTAAAGAGAAGAATTTTGACGGATATACATTGATATTTGTAATATGTATTATTAACTCATAAGATACGTTTTATAATGTGTATATTATTTAAAGTCTTTAAGATATGAAATTAAAATTCAGACTTTTCCCAGTTTCCCTCTCTTCAAATTCTTTTTCTGATGTTTCTGGCGCATTCTAAATTTATAACATATTATCAAAGTATAGATGATCTAATTTATAGTTTGATATAATAGTTATTTTTATTATTTTTTGTCTAGTCATGAATTGATTATTTATATAAATATTTACCATTTTTCTTTTGTTTTTAGATAACGTTAACCCTTTACCAAAATAAAATCCATTTAAATATCATTGTTTTACCATTTTTTTCGTATTCTTCTTTAAGTTACTGCATATCCCAATCCAGGTTCATTTGCCCATATTCAAGTTCATCCTAAATTAACATTTTTTGGATGTTTTGTTGCTTTAGATGCATTGTATCACTCGCCAAGCAAATCCACATTTTGTTAAAATGTCACAATCTGGAACAGGAATACGTCCTGCATATTAAGGCAGAGAAACTATTGAACATTTAATACTAATGTCATGAAAAAGAAGTCCATAAAATAAATTCTAAGTGGAAGAAGTATTCTGTAATATATAACAGTATTTGTTTCAAACGGAATATAGGGTATAGAATATTTGTTCCAATTGGAACAGATATTATGACATTGTTTATAATTACTTCTGTAATAGGCGGAACAAGTATATGTTGACACAATAGGTAGTTTCTTCATTTCTATAAGCTGGAGTGATGGGGATGAATGGTAGGAAACTTGGACTGCCACTAGAATACAATTATTGTATGTTGGATAGGGACAGAAATTTTGCCTTGCAAGAGGCCACCTGTTGATCCCTTGAAGAGTTGTTTCAAGGGTTCTTAAATCTTTTACATGCAGAGAGCATGACACTCTCTATACATGAGGATTCAGATTAACATCCCCATAACTTGACACACAGTGTTGTTTTGTTATACTTAGTACTGATAAAACATACAAAACATTTACCAATAAAAACCCAAATTAGTTACATATAATATGACATTAAGTATATGTGTTTATATTACAGCCAGCAGTATCAGTAGGAAATGTTGGACAGTTGGCAGTTGATATGATTATCTCTACATTATGGATGGAAAGAATTGGTTATATCTATCATGATAGCATTTTGCCATTAGTTGGAAATGATCCTTTTGCTCATCCTGAATCAATTTCTTGTAAAATTGTTACAAATTGTGAAGGTACATTAGTTGTTCTTTAATTAAGTTATATGCCATTGGTATTTTGCAGAATTATTAAGTAAACATGAGGTAAATTCAAGGTTTGAAACTATTTTTGCTGAATACATAAATTAACTGAAATAAATATGACCAAAAAGTAAATTTGATAAACAACTATCCTTTGAAATCACGATATACCTGATCAATATAGGAAATCACGATATACCTGATCAATAAAGGAAATCACGATATACCTGAACAATATAGGAAATCACGATATACCTGATCAATATTGGAAATCACGATATATCTGAACAATATAGGAAATCACGATATACCTGAACAATATAGGAAAAAATATATAAGAGAAGGGAATTCCCTTTGTTTGTAAATACAATAATAATAAGGGCTATTCCAGAAAAAAATGTATGGGGGGGTTGGAAGGCACTTTTTTTTAATGCCCATGACCCATACAATTTGATTTTTTTGGCGACCCATAACCCAAACAATTAAATAGAGGTTTGATACCACCACCCATCTAATTCAAACAAAAAAAAAAGAAAGTCAATACAGCAGTGTAAGAAATTGATATGGTCTACTTAAAAACTAGTATATTTTTTAAGTATGTATGTCTTAATGACTTTCAACACAACCATTGTAGAATTAGGATACTAAGGCTGAAAAATTTCAATCTTCAGATCTCCTTTTGTACTTTTATATAATCTATATCAAAATATAAAGGGTAGATTCCAACTGTGGTATGGCTTTTTCAAGTGTAAAAAGGGTTAGGAGTTTCTAAGTCAAAAATCCAGAAATCACCACTTTTGTGTAAAAATTCCCCTCCACCAAATTAACAAAAATTCCATGAAATAAATTACAAAGGCATTGCGGGAATAGTATCTCAAGAAGTTTCAGCAAGTTGGTATATTTCTTATAATTACAATATTCAAATCTAAAATAGTGGTCTATTATGAAATTTTTTTTTTCAATAAAATGAAGTTTTTTAAAACAAAAAATTCAAAGCTGGAATCCTTTTCATTAAAACATCATTCTCTTGCAGTTGAAAAGTAAAATAATTTTTTTGTGTATTTCAATAATCAGTAAAACGGATTTTAAAGAAAATCCATTTTAAGGGGAAATAACTCCACATAAAAAATAAAAAAACATAAAAATTTTCCGAGATTCATTACTGTTTCATCACCTTTTATAAAGCTATATTTTATTTTATTTATATACAAAAGCTTCCAAATCTTAATAAGTTAATGTACAACCACCCATCTAATTAAATTGTGGAGAAGAACAACTACCCACAGAATTACATTTGCTCCAACCACCACAACCCATGCAAAAAAAGATAAACTGCCGTCCAACCCTCCCATACATTTTTTTCTGGAATAGCCCTAAACAAATTGCTACATCAAATATACCCCCCACAAAGATATAAACAACATTTAACATTACACTCATTTTACTGTATTAAAAGAGTTCACTGTTCTGTATACATCAAGGGGAATATATTTGATAAGTATTGTAAATATAAAAGGCATATTTCAAAAAAACTTACATTTCCTCTTGATGACCATTTCAGTATATGAGAATACAGAGAACAAGACAATAATAATACAACAGAGATCTCCATTTGTCCAAGTAAGTATCTAAGTTGTATGTAATATTTTCATGTATGCTTTTCTAATACTATATAAAAATGTACCAAAAGTAGTGTAGTTTTGTTTCAATTTGATTACAATAGATATATATATCCCACCATGATAGAAAGAAAATTATGTTTTCCAATCTGTGCATCCATCCATCTTTCTACTAAATCCATCCATCTGATGAGATTAAAGGTTGGTTTAAAGGTAGTTAAAAATGAAATTGTGGTCATAGTATCAACTTGAAATTGTATAAAAATAAGGAGATGTGGTATAATTGCCAATGAGACAACTATCCACCATATTTCAAATGAAGTGGATGCAAGCAATTATAGGTTAATGTAAGGCCTTCAACAATGAGAAAATCCATACCGTATAGTCAGCTATAAAATGCCACAATATGAAAAAATGAAAAATAACAGTCTAATTTATAACAATACACTTTAATAGAAACCAATATGGCAGACATGAACCAACAAGGTAAGAGTTCCATATGGCACCCCTACCATACTAAAAGAACACAATAATGTATTACAGTTTATTCCGTCAGGGTGCCATATGGAACTCTTTCCACCAACAACAACCACTGAATTACAGGAGCATAAAGCAAGTGATAGTTAAACATGTTTGTGAGCACTCAACTATCCCCTATCTGGGACAGTGATGTAACAGCCAAATAGTAGACTCTGAATTTTGCTGGGCAGAATATTCATTTTCATCCATAACCAGACAAAAAACTTGGATTTGTTTTATCTCTTAAGAATATCCTGTAAAATGCCAAATTAATCTAGGAAGAATGCTTTTGTTGCTTAGTAACATTTGTGGATATTTCACAGGGAAGGAGAGCTGCTTTTAAACAGTGGCTGAGGAAATGGATGATAGAAATGAAAATATCACAACTTGTCATTCTAACAAGTAGCCATGCTCATGAAAGACTCGACAGCCAATTACAGGGGTTAGTAACAAATAAAGTGACATAAACTTTAGTGTTGAAGGCGTTAACTACAAAATAGAAATAGAAGTATCTTTGTATAAATGTTTGCAGACTAAAATTACTGTGACCCTGGCCTGAAGTCAAGACTTTAAAGGTTGTATGACTCAACCGACTACAAGTTTAGTGAGTGAAGTAAAATTATGTCTTTGGTCTACCTAATCATATGTCATTTGTCTTTAGACACACCTTTTAAAGGACTTGCTAGATTACAGCAAGTTCCCTCTAGGGCCAAGACCGTAACTACCATTGAGGCAAGTGAGGCAATTGCCTCACTAAACTTTCGACACTGAAATGTTTTTGTGTGTATTTGTTTATGGTAATTAAATCTATAACTTGACATCGTTCCTTTTAAATTATTCTTCTTCCGATATAACTCAGCATCTCAGTCACCGCTTGAAGTTTCTCGATTACATTAACCTAGTAACCGGTTATCATCATGGATCTCTGGTTAAAAACAAGCTCTTGCAGAAAAAGGAAAAGCGATACTGAAGGTGAGAAAGGAATAATTCTAGTAAACTAATGGATGTTATTTGTGATCACAACCGGTGTTAAGGGTTCCAGTATCGAATATATTTTCATTGGAACTAATCCAAAAACTATAAAAAGACTGACAAATCAAGTACTGGGGCACCGCACGGGAGCAGTCCTGTCTGAGTATTCATTTCCCGGTTTTCCCAAACTTTAATGTTCTTAAAATTTGAAAGAACGTCCCGTTATCCAATTTTGACATTATTGAGGTACGGTAGGACCTTTAAACGGGATATCGTGTTTTCTAATTCGGGACTACGGGATTTCATGTCTTTCAATTCAGGATTTCGGGATCGGACCCCCTCATTATTCGATTGTCGATCTGAAATATATTACCACTGACTATTTCCAGAAATAATCTGAAATCACGGACCTACATGTAAACGGCGAAAACTCCAGTCCAATTTCCCCGTATCCATAAAAAAAAAAACAACTAAAAAATCAATATTCCTAGAATAACATACAACAATATAGTTATATCCAATTTCCCTTATCCATAACATAAAAAGGTAGCATGTGGCAAAAAAAAAAAACTAAAAATAATATTCCTAAAATAACATTAAAATGACATAGGGGGTACCCCCATATCTCAGTGAATTCAGTAACAAAGATATGATTATCTAATATTCCTGAAGGTGAAATGGCAAAGAAGATCCCAATATACCCTATAGGCTTAAAGCTGAAAATTGATATTTAGCTCCGTCCGCAATGAAACGGTTTGAAATCAAATCCGTGACATCTTCAATCTATGCAACGATGTCAAGCTCTCTGGAAATGCCCAGAAGGCAGGATTTTACACTATTTATCCCAGACCCCCTACCGAAATGTTTCGCCTCGCTTCGCTCGCCTCTATTTTTTCTATCAGTTCTGCCTCGCTATACTAATATGCCTAGTTACGGCCTTGAGAGCTCAGACATAGATAAGTTTAATTTTGCATTTGAATTATTCATGTGTTTCATTGATTGACTCCCTTTATTAAAAAAAAAAATTAACTTTAACATAAACAAAAAAATATTTGTGATTAAGAATAAGAAAACTGTGAAATTTTAAAATCCAACAGGAACTGCTTTGGTCCTGTTAATTGTGAAATTTAAACGCTATGAAAATAATCTTTTAATAAACAGTATTACACATTTGTGGAAGTAGAAATTTTTGACTAAAATTATGTTTAGTACATATTATTACAGGTTTGCACATGCTTGTGGCTCATTAAAAAGTTATCCTTTTTGTTTTGGTTTCAACTAGTTCTTTATATGTCATATATGATAAAATTCAGTTTAATACAGTTTTCATTGGTTTTTGTAAGGTAGGTGTGTAGTATAGTAATTAGTATACATACACTATTTCGTAGAAAATGGAGTAACAACATGAAGTAATGTATTGAATAAAAATATTCAGCATAATCATTATCACATCCTATCTACTTGTGTTGTAGATCTCAGTTCAGATTTATAGCGGGTCCAAAATTTGAGAAACATGAAATTGAAGACATGAAATCCCGATTAGAATGGCAGGAATTAGAGAAAAGACTATCAGAAAATGGAGAGACAGAAGATATTTCATCACCTTACATTCCAGGAGGAGGCATTGCTAAATCTTTATTTAAAGATTGGTAAGTTTATGTTTACTATATAACTGTTATGGTGTTACTTTCACTTAAACCTCAACATGTGTAATGGATTTTTGACAGCCTAAAAGAGAGACAGAAAATACCAAAGCGATATTCAAGCTCATAAGTCGATGACAAGCCAATAACGCCATGGAAAAAAAATGAAGTCAAACAACAGTCTACAAAACTCAACAAAGAAACTAAAAACTGAGCAAAACCAACCCGACCATTAAAAAAACCGGAGTGAGCTTAGCTGCTCATGAACGGTAAGCACATCCTGCTCCACACAGGAGTGTTTTGATATGTAAACTCAGTGGACTTATTCACAAAATGAAAGATGTCTTAAAATAATATTTATTATTACTATTCCAATAAAATGCACCAGGATTATATCCAGATAGAAAATTTCAACACTAAAGAGATCTGTATTGCCTATGAAGGAAATCTTACTTGTGTCATCATAAAACTACATGTATATAATTGTTTTCAGTTGACACCAGACTCACTAATGAAATGAGACTTGTTCATATTTTGTACTGTTACAACACTGTCCCAGATCAGGTGGAGAGTTGACCGCCTGCAAACATGTTTAACCCTGAAATATTCTGTATGTGCCTGTCCCAAGTCAGGAGCCTGTAATTCAGTGGTTGTCGTTTGTTGCTGTATATTATATTTGTATTTAGTTCATTGTTTTGGACATAAATCAGGCCGTTAGTTTTCTCGTTTGAATTGTTATACATTTGTCATTTGGGGGTCTTTTATAGCTGACTATGCGGTATGTGTTTTGCTCAATGTTGAAGGCCGTATGGTAACCTATAGTTGCTAACTTCTATGTCATTTGGTCTCTGGTTGAGAGTTGTCTCATTGGCAATCATACCACATCTTGTTTTTATGTTGAGATGCAAAATTAGAATGTTTAGAAAATCAGTGCAAGATAATTATTATTTACAATGTTGAGTACATGAAGGGTTCAATCCTGTTGATGTAACTATTACTTACAGTTCTGAAGAAATAAAAGTGTGTATCCTGTTGTTGTTTTGTTCTGAGGGAGACAATGCCAGTGATGCCTTACAGCTGGCTAAACATGTCAACAGCTGGTTAAATATAATTGATATGGAGGTAATTTATGTTATGGATGTTAATAAAATCAGAAATTTTGGTGGGAATTTAATACATTCATGAGATTTCATCTAGAAAAAATCTGTAGGAGAGTGTTTGCATTTTAAACAAAATTATAGACCTGAATTGGCCATATTTACACATATTCTATACATTTGTACTTCCGTTTATCTGATATTAAATTTGCTAAACCTTGGAAAGTAAAAAAGTTATATAAATAAACTTTTAAATATTCTTATGCAGTTCCACAGGGAGGTCTCAACATGGGATTTGGGTACAGATGTGCAGCTGTGATTTCAAAAACACCCCATTCATTTATTGATGTCTTGTAAAAATGGCGACCCATAAATATATATTTCATGGCAAAATCAAAACCCATTCATATATTTCTGTTATCACATATACAATTTTTGACATCTCAATTTGATTTTAAACGATAAAACAGTATGTATACAAAAATCTAATCAAAAGATGAAAATTATTGACCCTTGGACATTTTACCTTGGTGAAATTCCAACTCATTGATAAATTTAATGTATCAAAAAAGGGACCCATTCTAGCGGCAAGTCTGTGTATATCTTCATATAGGAAGAGGATCCCTTGTGTGTATTTCTGCATGATCTAGAGGCTTGCAAAATTTTACCAAATCCATGAGATTGTCCATTTATGTACTCTGTCACCTTAAAGAAATAAGTTTTGTCAATTTTTCCTCTAGGAATGAAAAACAATGAGTTATCTCCCTTTATATTTTTTTAATTTATTGACTATTAAGATTTCGTGATAACAGCAGGATACCTCAAATGAATAAATCATGCTAAGCAATTTGTTATGAAATGAAAATATTAGCCTCTTCAACAATTCATGAAAAATTCTGCTGACCATATATATATATGTACAAGATATAAGCACACCTTTAATTAGTACTTACTTTTTTTCAACAGCCCAAACTTATGATTGGTTTTGATGGTAAATCAGTGAAGATGCCTGGGTTGTCATGGAAAGTACCATACTCATGGAAACTGATGTTTGGAACCCAAGTTGACAGAACATTGTTTCATTAATTTTATAATAAATAATATTTTTACATGTTTATTTGTATTTATGGATAGTTGCTTGTCTAATGTCCAGTGGCTAATGTTTTATGCATATTCAGGACAAAAACAAGTTTACAATTTTATACAAAAGGTAGGTTTTGCAAGGTAGGTCAACCTGGATGAAAGTTGGGGAACTTAGATGTCCACTGGACATTTAAGATAATTAAGCTTTTCAATGTTTGTATTTGGTTTATTATTTTTACAGACATGTACACCTTATAATCATTCAATACTCCAATTATAGTTCACCTATTGCTTAAAGTATCTGATAAATGTACAAAACCATGAAAAAAATGAGGTCAGATAAAATCTGCAAGTCAGACATTTCCACCTTACAATTATTCAGAGTTTTTTTTTCAATTTCCATACTCCAAATACAGCTGATCTATTGCTTATAGTAGCCCAGAAACAGACCAAACCACTAAAATACTTTGAATTGACCTATGAAAATGAGGTCATGGTCAATTGAACCCTGCCAGTCATACATGTACACCCGACAATCATTCCATACATCAAATATAGTTGACATATTGCTTAAAGTATCTGAGATATTGACTTTACCACTAAAACTTAAACTCGTCACTGATCCAAGAAATAAAGTGTAGGTCAGGCGAACTCTGTATGAAGGACCTTGCAAGGATCCCATTTTCAAGCAGTCAGTGAACCATGAAAATGAGGTAAAGGACAACGGACATATGACAGACAGAAATTTTGTAACATAAGGAATCTGCATACAAGGTATGAAACATCCAGGTCTTTACCTTCTAAAATATAATGCTTACAACAAATAGTTTATTGTTTTGCTTTTTGTGACTTTTGTCGCAGAGGAGACAAAAACAGCACAGTTCAAAAGACCACATTAAACACCAAACTCCTCCTCCAAAAAAAAAGTAACAACTATGAGCAGTCGTGATAGCCTGAGTTGGTACAGGCAAACCATGTGGGGTTAAACCAGTTTTATGTGCACACAAACCCCCTACCCCTTTTGACTATCTAGACCATGTCATATAAAAACTCACAAGAAACGTGGACAATACAGCCACCAACAGGATGACCATATTAAACCTGAACAAAGAAAACAAAAAAAGGCACATCATTTGCCCAACTTTCCTTTTATTCATGCATAACTTTTTCCCATACTGGTTAAAAATGACAGACACATGGTTATAAACACATTAATCTGGCAAAGATTATGGTAGATATGTATAATTAGCAATAATATAACAACAATGTGACATTATTATAATTTTATTTCATATTTTATCTCAGTCTATCACATATAAAGTAAAACGGGTCCATAAATATTTGAATTGCCAAATTTTACATTAGAATTAACCTCTTTATATAAAACCTTTTTAACAGAAATACCAGTAAACAGGAAACCTGCATGACTCGTTACCGGTCATCTTTATGTTATCCGTCATGATGATAAAACTTATTATGCTATCCTGTGTAACAGTTCTGTTGAAAAATTTCACATAAGTCATAGTGATGGATGTTCTATGATTTGGCAGTGGTTACATTCACACTAAGTTTACAGGAGGTTTTATTAGTATTCTTATATTTAATAAATATTAGGACCATCTCTCATAAAGCTCACCTCTCAATATTTGAACAGAACTAAAGTAAAGTGTCCTCATCTATTCTTGACTTTATAATGACTACAATAAATTCATTGCTTGATATTAACTTGTAACCTACATGTATAAGCAGAAGCCATTTAAAAAAAAAAAATTTGCTGTTGATTTAAAAAAAAAAAAGCGTGACTTGAATGACTGCTTAAAATTTACTCATCTTTCTGTTAAGTTTGAAGTAACAACAAACATTTTAAATGGCTCTGCCAACAATCTGCAAAGACTACCAATTGCATATTTAATGAAATAACATGATTTTGTTCTTTGAAAAAAAAACATACAAAAATGAACCACAACAATTTAAGCGTCAGTCTAGTGGTTCTAGTGGATGGATAAAACCATGTTTGTTAAAACCGTTTTTAAAACCAGTAGCAGTCATCAAAAAACCTAAAAATATTATATCCACACAAATCTTCCAACGATTCACAACTGTACATGTTATGAAGCAATTCAGGGTAAATTGAACTCCATTCTGCTGTAAACTGTAGGAGATTTTTGAAAATGTGTTGTCATAGGATTTTCAAAAATAAATTAGTTAAGATTATAAATAGGTGCTACTCATGGCATTGAGAAAAAATTTTCAACTTTCATTTCATAGACTTGACTATTGATAAACAAAATTCACACACACACATAGAAAACATTGGAAATCCATGTTTCAATTTTTGTATTAATAGAACAGGACAAAAAAAAATGTGAATTCAGGAAGAAATATGATACAACTCGGAGAAATCTCTAAAGTATAGAAAAGAACGAAAATGTCAGAAACAGCAAACAGAATAAAGAGAAATCATCAAAGGAAATAATAGAGTTAGAAGAGATGGCTCACAAAACTCAATAAACTTATTGTAATATTAAAAACAAATGAAAAGCAATTGCATGCAAAGTACAACATACAGGGTGGTTTCAATAAAAAAAAATCAAATCTGACACCCAAAGAAGTGAGTTCCTTTCTATTTTCTATTTCTTCATATTCTACCTAAAAAGGCAGGAAACTTTATTTAAATATGAGACCTGCATCTATAATTGACTACTCCATTAAAATTGCCCTTCAAATATAATGTTTCAGTCCATGTAAAAATTTTGCAATTTTCAGAACAGATGATTCATATGAATGAAATGGGTGGTGGTTTTTCTCATAATACATGTTCATGAAAATAAAATTGAAGTTATCTCCCTTTATATAATTTTCATAAGAGCTTTTCATACATATTTCATAGGTTAAAGGAAAATAATAGGTAGCTTTTGATATTTCTTTGTATTCTGAATAAAATATCCAAAATAATTATATGTAGGCTTTCCACCCATATGCTTGATTTTAAGTGGAATGGTACTTAAATAGAACTGCCATTGTAGCCTTTATCATTTTTTCCAACCTTTTACATTTACATGTCCAACAAAATTATAACTTGAAAACATTTCTGTGAAGAAGGATAACTTATGTGTTATATAAAGTAATAACCTTGTACACATTTTTCTCATAAATAAATAGCGATTTACAAACAAAAATTAAAACAAGTTAAACACTTTTAAAACAAACATAAACAATCAATTTAAAATAATAATAATACACAATGAATTAACTCCCCATTACAGCATTAAGACAGCTTGCCAAAGTGTAGATATCAGATCCCAGAAAATCAGAGCTTCAAATATTGTACAAACACTGGTCTACTGTATAAGACTTATATGTAAACTTCTATCTAGTCTGAGCCGTCTCGTGGATATTTATTATACCCCTTACCTCCATTTATTCATATATAACCTTTACAGTTATTATTTTAAATAGCTATATCCATTTAAATGGCTTTAGTGAGAGCATCTCAGCATGTATTATAAAATTATAAGTAGCTAAGGGCTGTTCTAAAATTGATCGTGCTGAGGGATGGGAGGCACCCAAATTAATTAATTGTTGGTGGTTAAATATATTCCTTAGAATGTTTAGTAAAATTAATTTTATATCACAGTTGAATTTCGGTCTAAAAAAGTGTTTAATTCTGGAACAGTCCTTAACACATCGGGGGATGGAAGGGACTCAAATTAATAAATTGTGAGTGATTACATGAAAATTTTATATTACTGGTGGTTGGGGTCCAAAAAAGTGCATCCAATCCCCTGCATTTAAATTTGGAACAGTCCCAACTCAATCTAAATATCTCCATGATGAGTGACAATGATGTGTGCCTGTTGATTTCTATTTTGAAGTCTCATTGTGATATCACATTTTGTTTATTTATCAAAAAATAAACATGTTCACTAAACTATGAAATCATTTGTACCAATATTTTTAATATGTATTTTACACATACATTGTATTATATTATTTATATACCATTATACAGTTGATTTAATGCTTTAAAGGTAAAGAGAAAAAAGTGATTAGAGAATTTTTCCTAACAGCTTACTAGACCATACATAAAACTAGTTCATTTAGTAAGTTGTTGACCCTCTTCAATCATACACTGATACATTTCAGGTGCCGATTGAAATTTTGAGGATTTTGAAAAATGGGATCCATTGGCAAGACAATGTTAGGAGTGGTACTTTTTCAAAGTCTGCATTAACCATAGATAATGCTCAATAATAGGGCTAGCACCCTGCCTCCCCCTAAATCCTCCTCTGCCTTTATTGATTGATTGCTATAAATCAACCTTCACAATTTATTTACATGTAAACATAATACCATTAAACTGAATCTATATTGAAAAATAACACACATATATGCAGACAGAATTCTTGAAACGACAGAGCTGAACAGATAACATTTTCATTCAACATCTATTAATTTTAACAAGTGAACCAATAAAAAAAATATTCAACTTACTGAAGACATCTATATTCCCAGAGATTTTCAAAGAAAGATAAGTATAAAAGTTATTTCAGGTTGACTTTCTAAGGTGTGTAAAGTTTCAATGGAATAGTTTTTAAAAGATGCTGTCAGTTTCACTATGCAACAGGATTGAACTGTCTAAATGATGTTTAACTACTAGAAGCATCTTAACATGCATTTGTACACATTTAGAGATTTTTTTGAGATGTCAATTAAACATTAAAGTCAAGTATATATACAAAGAAATATAGGGAGGAATATAGGTATTATTAATACACATTCTTTTATGCATTATTAAAAATAATAAAAATGTGTTTCAATTTACACATGTATAAAATCCGACTTATGTACACATTTACAATCATTATCCATGAAACACACTATCATACTCTCACTTTGCTACGCAATCGTCTGTCTGTTTCAAATTTTGGTGACATTGCATATGTAACAGGTTTATCACTTGGTTGAACTTCAACGTTTGTATATTTTTTAACAGGGTTACTTTTATGTACCATTTCTGCTCTCAGTTTAGCAATGGCCATCTGTTCTTCTTCCTCTTTCTCTTTTTCTATTCTTCGTTTCACAGCTTCTATCTCAGCCTCTTTGCTCTTTTTATGCATTTCGAAGCCTTCTCGGTCATAAGCCCTTTTTTCCGTATTAAGGGAAAATTCACTAATGTCTGTAACAAAGAATAATAACATTACATCATGTTTGTACATAGATGTTAGAAAAGAATTCAGCCATTCTGACTAGCAAACAACTATATAACTATATCAGGTGTTTTAAAAGTGATGTTTCATGTTTCAACAAAAAGCAAGGCTTTTGACCGCATGTCTTCTCAATGATACATTACAAACGTGTGCAGTAGTTTTGACAACAACGCAAAGATAAAGCTGGGTTTAGGTTTTTAGTTCTTTGTTTTAGCATTTAAATCTTTATATTATATGTAAATAGAATTCTAATGCAATTATTTTGTATCAATGGTTCTGATTGGATGACAGAACGCGTAAAATTCTATATCTCCCTGTCTGTAACTAAGGAAGCCGACATTTTCAATTCCGGAATGTATTGACATGTATCTTCTCAAATAATAAGCAAAAAACTCACATTTTGCACCTAGAAATCTTCTTTATATAACATTTCATTACATTTTGAGGCGGCCAAGAAGCAAGAAAACTCTCGGTGTTTACGTTTGACACCGGAAGCATACCTATGATGTCACCTAGTTTAGGGGCCAAAGAAGATAACATCATTTCGCTGAATTTTCGTTTAATGAAAATTTTACACTGAATTAATGACAAATTGAATTATGTATTTATTTTGCATTAGAATAGAGATAACTGTATTGTATTTGAAGCTTTGCGGATGCCCATTGGTAGTTTTACTGTGACAAATTAAGTTTACCTGGCGACACGTAGCAAAGCTTCAAATACAATACAGTTATCTCTTAATTAGACTGAGCTTTTTTTATGATCTGTTAAACCATGTAAAACAATCTAAGGGATCATAGATTTATTCTTATGAGGAAGCTCTGAGCATGCTCGGAGGATGCTCAGAGCTTTTTTAGTAGGCTCTTCTCAGCAGTTTATTTGAAAACAATTATCATGATCCATTAAGATGTCAATCTAATCTATAGCACTTCTATAATAAGGAAAGTAGAGCATTATAAAGGAAGCTCAATTAACACCTGTGTAAACATCTGGTCGATTCAAATAAATCTTGCATTAATTTTACAAAACTATAAAATAGATGAGAAATTCTTCAATAGTACTGTGCAATGCTTGGAAAGAAATATCAAGTCTTCACAGAAAGCAAATGTTTTTAAAACATTTTCTTAATAATCATCATTTTTTTTCAATACAAAAAAAAAATACTCAAAATTTATATTTAAAATATAAATATAGCTGAAATTTATACTATATAAAATGAAATATAAAAGTCATCAAAGACACAAACTATGGTCATTTGTTAAACTTTAAATGCCATAGCAAACTTAGATTTTCAATAGAAAATGATGGCTACTTTGGGAAAAGTTGTAACTCATAGGCTAGGTTGAAAGACTTGTCACAGTAGTTATGATAAATTGATTTTAGTTCAGAAATCCTCAAAATATTTTTCTTGAATAACGTTTTTTATTTTGTTTTTATAATAATTAAACGGATTCAATGGATCAAAAACTTTACAACAAAAATTTAAACTTTGTACTGGAATCTCTTTTGTCTATGCAATTCAACTTCTTTTCCCAAAATATTTTATATATAATATCCACAGGAAAGTATTGATATTGTTTATGTTTCAAAAATGATGCAGAGATTAAATGGAATTAATAAGAAATTATGAGCTTTATACTTAGGCTCCAATATAATTTCCATTAATTTATTTTTTTATGACCTTACTTTTCTTTTTCATAGCTACAAAATAACTTAGAAAAGTGAATTCAAATAATCTAACTGCCCAGACCAATTACCATAATCACCATTTATACCATACTATTAAATGTACAAAGTATTGGAGTACCTTTTTCTAAGCTCAATTAGCTTTCAGCTCTTAATTTTATTTTAAATTCTAGTTCTTCAATACACATTGATTTGTATAGAAAATGTCAACTAATTTTTTTTTAAATATCTCTTTTAAGCTTAATCAAAATGCAGAAAGTCATAAATTATATTTGATATCCCTGAATGATCATTGCAAGATTTCCATTTCATATAAACATTTATTTTCTATAGCTATTTATAAATGTGATAAGAAGAGCAAATCATCACTAACTTGAGAAGTCATTTATATAATCTATTCTGATGTCTGCTTAAAATTGAGAATTTTTATTTATTACCCTAATGCCTTAAGTCAACTGAATACCAGTTTAAAACATACCGTTTATTAATATATTATACTATATATTATAACTACAGTTGAAAATTCTTGAAATAATCTGTTTCAAGTTAGGAATATGGCAATTTAGAAGTTTTAATGTTTGAGGCCTAGAGAACGCAATTTTCTTGAATAATTTGCAGACTTGACTTATATATGCTATGTCCCTCACTTAAAAATATTTAAAGATGTATAGTAATAGTTCAATTGGTATACTTAAAAATCATTTTTGATTCAGCATATTAACTGTCATGACTGTAGGAACATGACAATAGGTAGTCATGACTATACCACTTTAGTTTAGGGTTTGAATTATAATGTATCTACCATATATCTATCAAGTAATCTAATATCTTCAGTTTATATCTTATTTTTTGATAACTGTTTTTAAAATTGGAATCAATTATTATTGTTGGAGATGTTTTTATCTAACAGCACACAACATTTCGATATTAACAAAATACTTCATATGGAGCATTATGCTGCATAAAAGAGGATGCTCTAAGATAATTTTCCCTACTGAAACTGTAAGGGGTTATTCCCTCAATCTATAATGTTTATATAATGTATCATGCTGTGATATAAACCTTTGATAATAATGTTTGCCTCTACACAGATTTCTAAACAGTATTATTGGACAGAATGCAAAGAGACATTTATCAATATTTACTTTTAAAATTGTGTGATCATATTTTACTGTATTAATTTAATATTAAACAACACAAAACAAGCAAACAAAAATTGTTTCAACTCCAAATAACTGCTACAATGTCCTATACTAATGAACATAATTATGTCTAAATTTCTGTCTAGCTTTGTTTTATGTTTTTTTTTTTTTATAATTATACTCATGAAGCTAAAAAGAAAAAAAAAATCACTTATTTGATCTTAGAGAAATATATTTCAGTATATATTATACAATTATAGCCTTTGTATGAGGTCGATACAAGGATATATTGACTGAGGACGAAGTCCGAGGTCGATAAACTTCTTTGGGTCGATATATCCTGTATTGACCTCATAAATAGGCTATAATTGTTATATTATCAATATCCCGACCATATTTGTATCAAAATCGTCATTTGATTTTGTTGGAATTTCATAGATATCATATTGTCTCCTAGACAATAACAACATATTAGTTATTTCATTTACTTTTTTTGTTTGTATTTTTTTTACATCTTATGTATTTGAAGATTTTTTTCTTCAAATAATCGATCATAGATATTTTTTTATAAAACTTTTAACAATATCATGAAATTCATTACATGACGTCACAAAGTATATCGGCTTTTTAGGTATTCTAAAAATAACCGTGCAATATGCTTTTTGCTGTGCAATATGCTTTTTGCTATCCATCGTTTTCTATCTACCTTCGAAAGTATAGTTTAACATGTGACTATCCCTGAACGAATCAAATTAGTTGAAATATATGAATTAATAATATATACTTATATTTTTAGGATCTGTTTTATATTGATAGTATGTACTGAAAAAGGCCTATATAAAAAGACTTTCTACATACAGGCGTTAACTGAGCTTCCTCTACTTTGCTTTACTTTCCTTTTGATAGTTGTTTATATATTAAAAAGTCATTCAAGAAATAGAAATAGAGGATAACTGAACTAAAATCCATTATTTTATTCAGTTATATTAATTGTCATAATTTTTTCAAGGTGTAATACTACCAAAACATAGTACATTCAGTTTCATGTGAAAAAGGGTTAATTTTTTTTTTTATATTCAATTTAATTTGTCAGTTGTTGGAAATTTACCCTTCATTTCATTACAGAAAAGTATTTTTGAGTCTTAAACATGTATCTTGGGTGTTTCAAAGCAATAAAAAAAATTCTATTTGGTGTTCTATAAAATATTTTGGAAATTTAAGGGGACATGGCTACTAAAGCTTGTAACCAGAGAAAAAAGGGGGAGAGAATTTGATTGGTTAACTTCTGGTGAAGTTTACCTTCTTATTTGCACTGACAAGTTATGTTGTATTTTTACTGTAGTACAGGACAGAATAAAACTTTACTCATGCCAAGTATTTCTTTATTTAAAACAAAGATAATATCGGCACAATTCATAAAAAAAAGTCAATTAAAGAGAGACGTACAAGAGGAAAAACAATGGTGGTATTACCCCCTCAAACCAGCCTTCCAATAATGAATTACCTTTTCCTAAAGTAGCCATAATTTTTCTATAAAAGAACTTAGTTTGCTATATTATTAAAAAAACATATTACCATTGTTTAGTTAGGGGCATTACTTAAACAATCAATTTTTAAAATTACCTATACAAGTTATGTTGAAAACGAGGTTGTTTCAAATATTACTTCTATATCATGTATAAGTAACTTCTGTTAATATTAGTTTTAAAGGTGTCCATTCATTCAGGTTTTACTAGCTTTTACAAATTTTCACAGAATCTGGTTATTTTCCTCATGAAATATAAAACTATTTAAATCCTCCCGAAACACTAATTACCTTTCTGATGCCACACTTCTTGGTCAAAGATTGGTCTCTTGGGGCTATTAAGATATCATTTTCCCTTAAAATCTTAGAGATAGCTAGACATATAAAATAGATGAAACCTTATGATTTAATTAAGACCTGAGGTGATTTATTATTTGTAATCTTAATCAAAAACAATTACACATGTTCCTTAAATAATTGTAAGTACTAAGTTTTTCAAAGACGTATAAAATAATTTATAAAAGTAATTTTTTGTACTCATTATTTTTAAAGTAACCTCTCTATACTCATCTCAAATTGGATAAATGCTTAATTTTTTTTAAAGAAATGATATAAA